CAGGAAAGTGTGTTATTGAAAAAGTGGATCTGCTTCACTGCACATTTTTATGTTCGGAATCTATGCACAATAATAAAGTAGCATTTCATGTAAAAATGCTTGACTAATCTGAACAAACTGTATTACACAGAAAAGGTTTAACGAGCTTTATAGACAGACACAAAGATGATCTGCACCTAATTTGTAAAATCAGACCAGAATTAAATCTATTGAGATCTGTTCATTCATATTTAAAAGAGAAGAAGTAGGGCCAAAACTCAAAATCTCAAGAGTGCATTCCTTTGACCTGTATTCAGCCATCAGCAGGCTAACGTCTGTAGCAAGTGAGCATACAGAGATGGACGTGGTCATCCATCTTGCTAAGGATCCTCCATCTTGCTAAGGATCCTCCATCTTGTATCATTTGTACTCCCAAAGCAGCTTCCCTCCAATTTCCCCCCTCCTTCAGGAATGTGGTCTGTATGATGCCAGAGATCACAGGCACAGTGGGAAAGCTCCAGGGTTATAAATCCCCAAACTAGCTGGTGCCTGGGTGTCTGTTAGCTTCTCAATCTGAGATATCGTAAAACCATAAACCAGTCCCTCACTGAGCTTCAAAGACATTCCAGCTAGCTGTGGAACAGACTCACATTTAAAAATCCCCTTTTCGATATAATTTTATATCTGGAAATATGGAAGACTTACAAGGAAACCAGGCATATATTCAGACCGGTCATTTTAATACAAGTCGGCTGATATATTACACCCCCTAGCTGAAATCTACAGGAGAGCAGAAAAGAATATCTCCTTAACCGTCCCAAGCAGATATATCATATTTAATATCTAAACGTTCAGCAGATGCTTTTGCATATTAATCTACTAGTGGCAAGGCTGCTACATACACCGAGGGTAAGTTATGGATCATGATATAAACTAAGAGGGATTTTGGTTCTAGCTTGGGTCTCCGACTGCAACACCCTCCCCAAATGAGGCGATTGGTTCTGTGCTTCAAGAGACACCCTGCTGAATTCCTAGAAAGGCTTTGATGCTTGGAACAGAGAGTTAAGTTAAGTTGAGTAGGTCGTTTTGAAGTTGAAGAATCCTCCCTTTTAACATCGGAGCTAACTTTGGGAGATAAGGCACCCTTTTGGCTCAGGAAACTTGATCTGCTTAACCCAGGACTTTTGGCAAGTACTCTATCTCTCTAAATTTCTTTGTTATCTCTTTGCTGTGTTATTGCTCTCTGTATATTTATACATATATATTGGCTTCATCTTTTTCTGTAAATATTTTTATTGCATCCTTTTGACCTTTTAGTAATAAATCTTACTTTCTGAAAGTGTTGAACTGTTTCTAAAGCTCTTTAATGCAAACTAAAAACCCCTGTCTCTGAAGAGCGCTATTGTGTGTTTTAAACATCTGCATACATCTGTCTGCGGGGACATTGTGCATACAAATGATTATTCCAACATCATAGTGTTATTGCTGATATTACCGAGTTTCCTCTTTCTCTGTACAAAAAGGAGGTGGTGGCAGTGTGAAGGGTTAATTGCGTAATTAACCTGACCCAGTAACAATCGCTCCCAGGCTGCAGGTACACAGATTGTGGTGCATTAGCTGGAAAATCTTTGTGCAGGGTGCAGCTGGGCATGGCATTGTTACGCACGTGACAGCGCGGTTTTAGATTGGCTAGTCCTTTCGGTCACGAGTTTGGTGAGAAGGGCTGGGGTCTGACACCACGACCGTCACATTGTCCACTGAAGTCACTGAGCTGGTCCAGACTCTCAAGAGACCTGGTCTTTAAAGTTGGGATCCACCCAGATACCTGACCACTCCCGTCCCCTACACAGTTCCGTGCTCCAGTGAGCACTGGAGGGGCAGAGCACAGCGCGGTGACTGACAGCCACAGCTCTCTGCTCACTGAAGATCAGTGGTCTTTGATTGCTAGGTTCTCAATCTTAGAGGCAGCAGGAGACAGATGCAGCATCCACCCAGATGAATATGTAAGGTTTTTTTTTAATCCTAATGAATGTCTTTTCCTCTGGCACTCACGGTCTCTTCACAACAAAAGCAGAATCCACTTTTTCATCCATGTTTTTCTTATGTTTTCAGAGATCACAATTTTCAGGATTTCTTTATCCTCAATATTTGACAGATTCTGACGGCAGCTGTCCATCTCCTCACTCCCTACGTTCCTCTGCTCATCCCTCACAGCTGTTCTCACTGTTGTGGCTCTCTTCCCTTTAGACAGAGTAGCTGGACTACTTGGCAACACCCTGCTGTACCTGAGAAAGGGCGACTACAGTTTCAGGACATGTTATTCAGGCTTCTTGTCACATGACCTCCTAGTCCTCCCAAGTGAAGGATGAACGGAGGAGCGTAGGGTGAGAACAGATGGACACCTGCCACCAGAATATCAAATGTGGATGAATGTCAAATGTTGAAGATAAAGAAATCCTGAAAGGTTGGTCTCTGATGAACTGAGAAAAACCTGCAAGTAGATTCTGCTTTTGATGTGAGGAGGCAGTGAGTGCCAGAGGAAAATAAATTCTTTAAGGAATAGAATAAAAGAGAGAAGCCAATAGTGTGCTTAAAATATTTGTAGAGTGCTCTACATTTATTAACCGCATGCCGCCCAGCCACTGTACATATACGGTGGCAGGGCGGCACTCACAGGCAAAACCACGTTTTAAGACGTGTGTTTTTGTAAACAAATAGGGGCGCGCGCGCGAGGCACGCTGCCACCCTATTTGGCGCGGATCACCGCCGCAGATGTCAGTCGCCGGGTCACCTTAGCGGCTATGTCCCGGCGATCGGCGGCAAACAGTGACAGAGAGCACAGCTGCAGTAGCTGTGCTGTCTGTCACTTCCTTCTCAGCTCGAGGATGAGCTGATCGAGAAAAAACAGTTTCTCTTTCTGGATCAGCCTTGTCCCTCCCAGTACACACCCCCGCCCCCTAGTAAAACACTCCCCTCACTCCTATAACCCTTCCCTGAAAAATAAAGTTAACCCCTTCCTCCCCATTGCCATTAGTACAGTGTCAGTTTTTTTTTTTTTTTGCACTGATCACTGTATTAGTGTTTTTGGGGATGTCAATGACCCCAAGTCAGTACCCCCCAATGTCAATGTATAGCAAAAAAAATGGCGTAAATTGCAGTATTTATACCATAGTTTGTAGACGCTATAACTTTCACACAAAGCAATCAATATACACTTATTGGGATTTTTTTTACCAAAAACATGTAGCAGAATACATTTTGGCCTAAATTTATAACCAACTTTGAGTTTACTATATATTTTTTCTAGCTGAAAATAAAAAATATTGTTTTTCTTCAAAATTTTTGGCCTTTTTTTGTTTATAGCGTGAAAAATAAAAAGCGCACAGGTGATCAAAAAGAAAGCTCTATTTGTGTGAAAAAAAAGTACGTAAATTTAGTTTGGGTGCAGCATTGCATGACCTCGCAATTATCAGTTGAATTAGTGCAGCGCCGAGTAGCAAAAAGAGGCCTGGTCATTAAGGAGGGTAAATCCTTAGGAGCTGATGGGAATCACTGATACAAAACAATACATATTACACCACCTGCAATATTTTCTTTGAACACACTTCAAATAGTTTACTACATGTGTAGGTGTGTGATGCACACGTTAATCAGCTATGGCAACATATTAAATGCAGCTTTTAAAATTTTTTTTTTCTTCAGAGAAAGCTATAATCCTCTTGGTGCCAGTCAATGAAGTTAAATCCTAAAACATCCAACTGTTATTCTGTTTCAGTAATCCGTAAATCTTTGCAGTTCTGATTATTGAGACCCAGATTATGCAAGATATCTAAATTTTTCCATTTATTCAAAGTTTTATTAGAGACTGTTAGGGCTCATGAATTTCTTATATTGCCACCACAAAAATTGAATTGTAAAAATTAAGTGAAAATATTTTACAACAAATTAAAATACAATGTTAATTTCAAAATTTCTTCATGTACCTTGTAAATTGACCCTCACACCATTCTGGTAGTTGAGGCAGCACAGTGGATTAGAGGTTAGCACTTGCATCACAAGGGTCCTTGCTTTAAATCTCAACCAGGATACCTGCATTGAGTTAGCATGTGTTCCCTGTGCGTCTATGAGGTTCCCCCGAAGACATATTGGTGAATTAATTGGTTTCTGTCTAAATTGGCCATAGCATGTATGTATGTATGTATGTATGTATGTATGTATGCATGTGAGGTAGGGACCTTAAACTGTAAGCTCCTAAAGAGCAGGGACTGATGTAAATGTACAATATGTAAAGTACTGTATATCTTGTCAGCACTATATAAATACCTCGAATACATAAATTGCAACCTGAATCCAATAAGCAGGCCTACGAATGTTGTCTTAAAAAAGAACTTGGAGTAGGGAGTTTATGGTGGTCAGACTTTGGCACAGATCAACATCGCTCCTCTAAAAAGGAGTCAGGTACTAGTCCATGAAACATAAAGGCATTCATGTTTGTAGAATAAGTGATCAGGTCTGTGTGTGTCAAAACTATACTATTCATTACGGCCTGATGGCTAGCTTTAAAGTGTTACTAAACCCACAACAGTAAAATCAGTCTGTATATGCAGAAAGCATGCTTGTTATACTCACTGTGGAACCTATGGGGTTAATCCTCTGCATTGTGTAATAAGGATGTTTGATCCTGTCTTCTCTGATCCTCCCCTTCATTCATCTGCTGCTAAAATAGAGCCTTATGGGCAAGCTGCACATGCTCAGTTTAGTATGTATTGCTAGAGAGGAGTTTTTTTTATTGAGAGAGTGCATTTGATCAGCACACGGCAAATCAGCATTGTCCAGAGGGTCAGTGGTCCTGCAGCCTCATAGGACAGTCAGAGGAGAATGAAAACTCCTTCTTCAAGCTTTAACCAATGCTCTGCTGGACAGTAAGAAGTCACAAGACTGCTCTAAACTGCTGATGAGAAAAGGTATTTAGCAGTTTATATTTACTAAAATAATTGCATTTTCATGTTCAGTGCACTGAGGGAGACCAGATATAGTGAATGCAGAGTCCTGGGTTTAGTAACAATTAAGCTTGCTAGCAACATAACAGACCAGAGCTGATTGTATTCTATAATTTGTACTTTCTTTTTGAAAATTAGCCTATTTTGGATAGTTCATGGAGGGACACATAAAAAATTTTCTCTGTATTTATGACCATCAGTTGAAAACTCCATACCCAGGTGTGGACTGATCATTTGGAAACTGGGGCACTGCCAAAGGGCCTGGGGTCAGTAGGGGACCCCATGAGATGACCCTGGTACCTTTTTCATAGGCTTTTTTGAGTTTGGGCAAAGGACACAGGGGCCACATGATCCCCTATTGCCCGGGGGCCCCATGAGTTGTCAGTCCACCCCTGTCCATACCAGTACATTTCTGAAGGAAACTTGTCTGATAAATGTAACACTGCCACAAAATCAAAGCCAGGCAATAGTTATTCACATTTGAAAAAAAAGTATCAAAACTGCAGTTTATGGCTCCAAAATCAGTAAGTCCCCTAACAAAGCATATTGTGAACCTGAATTAAAAATACACCTTTAAACCAATTTTTCCAATGGGTGGAACATGCACTCCGCTAGGCAAGCCCTCAATGCCGCATGGGAAACTACTTGAGCAGGGCAATGGAAAGAACACTGCATTGAACACTGGGGTCCATATCCTAAAGCTGTTTTTCCACTACAGATCAGCTTTTAAGGCCAGATCAAGTTCAGATGTTTTTAGATCTTGCCTTAAATTCAAGCCAAGGTCTGCTTTTTGAGTGTGCCCACTTGCAGAACTGCAGTAAAAAAGGGGGGGAATAATTTGATAACGCTCACCTTTTCCAGGATTCCGTAGTTCAGAGGATGACACTATTATTATGCTACCAAGTTTTTGGAGAATGCCAAGTGTAATTATTGTACGTACTTGGCACTTGGAATGTTGTGTGTGCAGCAGCCATTTAGTCCACATCCCCAGTCTCCTATGATATATCTTCATAAGAAAGAATCACTCAGTGACCTTTTCCTCTCTCCCCCTCTGTAAGGGATTTCTGGCAAGACGAATTCCCGCAAGAGAATTGCTGGTTGTGACATGTGCGCAGAAATGCACGATCGCGCACACGCACGGCGAAGATTGGCGCCAGACGGCCTATTTAAGGAGTGTCTCTGCTCATGTTCAGTGCTGACTGGTCTTCAGCTCCCCCGTGTCCTGCTTGTTCCTGTGTTATTCCTTTGTTGCTTACCCGGCTTGTTCCTCACCTGACTCTGATTGCTCTCCTGATTGATACTGGCTCCGGACTTCGGCTCTGCTCCTGACCTTGGCTTTTCCTTCTGATTCTGTACCGTACTGCCCGACTGTTGATGACCCTGGCTATTCCATGACACTGCTCCTGTCTCTTGTCCTCACTACCTGCCTTGTTCTGGTGCACGCCTGGCAATCTACAAAACCTGCTCTGCCTACTACTACTCTGCCAAAATCAGAGGATCATCAGCCTTCCAAGGTCATCATCTGCAAGAGCTGCAAACAACAACTACTGGCGCTCTTGTTCCCCTGGGTCCTAGACTCCCTCTGTTCCAACTCCAGCAGGGTCAGGGCTAGTGACACAAGTGAGGCCGACCTTGTCATTTCAGTCTCCCATCAGGTACGTGACACCCTCCCACCTCCCAGAAGGGTAGAGGTCGGGCACTGCGTTCTTCACATCAACAACTCCAAATTTGATGCTGAGATGCTGATTACTCCCCAGGGGTCTTTTTTTAAGTTGTATGCAGGGTTTCTGCAAGGGGAGGCAGAAAACATTAAAAAAAAGCCCTTGCAAATGTAGGTTCACGGTCTGCTTCAAATGTTACTAAGGTAACAGTGCTATTGTAAAGTCAACTGTCTTAAAGAGGAACAATTAAGTCCTGCTAGATTACTTCAGATTGGTCCCTTCTGCGGGTATAGCTATATAAAACATTAAAAATAAGTGTCTATCCTGTTAAAAATCCAGTAATACACTGTCTCAACCTGATTTGCACATGCACAGCTGCTCTCTATTTTTTGGCACTGTGCTGAATGTAGAGGCCAATCTGCTGACAGGTTAAAGATTTACTGCTGCTCAGGGACTATGTGCTTCAGCAAAATGGCAGCCTCCAGCAAGAAGAAACAGGAATTATGCTGGAGGCAATTTACAGCACACACTAATTTTGGTAGCATAATTATTACTGTAGAATGTATGTTCCTTACTAAAGAACAAGATCAAGTTGTTGTTATGGGTAAAGTTCCGCTTTAGGTTAAGTGCCTCTGTGGAGCTACATGAATCTTATGTCTAGGCAGTACAAATAGCCTAGACTTTCCTTCCTGGTCTGAAATGTAACGGTCAGTTATGCCACAGCTTATTCTGACCATGCAGTGCTGTCATGTGACAGATTATTAGCAGGGGCAGGGCCTGATCAAGACATAGCCCTGTGCACAGCCTGGTCGAAGACACAATTTGCAGACTGTTCATAATTTAAAAGACACAATAAGGTGCCTCCAGTTCACCAGTATTGCTTCCTTTTGCATTTGAGCACTTTTAGGCTACTTCAGGTTTACTTTAAGCCATAGTGCGGCTTAGGTATCTGATAAAAATGAAATCCTGTACAACACAATGAAGTAAAAAAAAAAATTAGGATGCAAACACTTTAGGGAAGTAATGGAACAGTCTACACTAGACAGAAAGCCATAATTAGCACAGAAGGGATTAGACTCATATAGAGCTGTTAAAGCAGAAGAGTCTGGATCACCAAGGAATATATAAGCATTGTTTTAGTACTGTAAGAGGTGAAAATGAGACTTTTACAACAGACAGAAAAAAGTGCAAGAGATAGTCATTTATAAAGCACTGACAGATAAAAACCCTTGTTACAATTATCCCACATAGATTGAAAATACAGCAATTTTCTATACAAGCAGCTTTCATTGTCTAATGAATGGCAATAAAATAGATTCAAAGTTAGTCATGCACCTTGTCAAATTCAGACAGCCCTGTTTGATCCAAATAAAACTGGGTAATTGCAGTTATTTTTTTGCTTTTTTACAAGATGTGTGTGGGAGATGTTGTCTTGTCACATGCAAATCAATACCAGCACACAATATCTGTGAGATTCACTAGTGGGACAGGTTAATTTAATTAGTTTTGTCTCACACCTCCTTAGTGTGAAAAAACTACTATTCAACATACACTACATTAAACCCAGAGGTGTAGCCAGACTATTACAGTGAAAATTAATATTGAAATATGCTATTAGAGGCAGCATGCCATATGCTCACAGTGGTGTTTGCACTTATTAGATTGTACAGTCCAACACAGTCCAGTTCACTAATTAGGCAATTGCAGACACCAAATAAAAAAACATTGATTGTTCCCCAAGTACATTGGATGTACAGTTTGCTTCCCCTGTATGTAGTACACTTTCTCATCCTGTCCTGTTAAAACGTTGGATTTAACCAAAAATGTCCGGTAGTGATTCAGGGACTAGGGAGTAGGATGATCAAAAACCCAAAAATAAGAGGTTGTATGTTTTCTGATGAGTGTAAAGTATGGATGAAGACCATATAATTTATAAAAGTGGTAAAATGGAATGAATGGTCTATTTTCAAGGATAGATACATATTTGCTAGCCACACGCTGTACAAAAAAAAAACTATTTATAGTAAGGCATATCTAAAATTATTTGGTTCTTATCCTGTTTATCACATTGTTGTCATGGGAAATATAATCTAGTTCAGTGTGGATTGCCAAACCTCATTGTTGGTGAATTTATAATTTAAAGGGCTGTATGTCTAGGTTTCCTGGTCCCCAGTGTGTACACCAAACAAGCTGCAAACACTGCCTGCAGTTCCAGATAAGACACCAGTACAAGAATGTTAGCATATACCAAGTCATAGAAAGCTTACTATGATCATTACTATAAAAAGCCTTCTATAAAACTCTGGAACACTGTGCCAGCTAGTACATTTTATATATATAGCACATACCATTGTCTACCCTCTTTATTCTTGTTACAACAGAAGTTATATTTAGACATCAGAATGAAGGTACAATATCTCTTATGAATGACTGTTAAATTCACAGAGTAAAAAATAATAAAATAGTTGCTTCTTGTGAAGTGATGCAATCTCACATAGTCAGCAAGTGCTTCATGCATTTACAGCTAAATAATTAAAAAGAAAGGGAAGATATGGGGAAATAAAAGGTCATTATAAAAGGCTGAAGGCTTGAGTTTTGCAGGCAGTCTTGTAACTATACTATTTGTGTTGTTTGGGAGCATCTAAAAGTAGTTCCAACACTCCTTGTCTAATTTAGAGATTCATATTTATGGAAGCTCAGGCTGTGTTCATGTTTCATTTGTGTTTTTGCGGAGATGGTTCATACACATATGAGCAGATCTCTTGTCTAGTATGATGCCCATCATTGCTTGATTTACTAATCTGATAGGGCCCGGCTGTGTCCACAACTCAGGAGAAGATACAATTCTGTACACACTTGAGAGGTTTCACTTTACCCTCTATAAAAAAAGTAATGATCATTGAATACATGTGTCCGGTAGCCCAAAAAAAAACTAGTTACACTTAGCCTGGCCATACACTATACAATTTTCTTACAATTTTCTGCCCAATTTCCTTTAGATTTACCTTCAGCTATGTAGTGCAAGGGTCTGCCTAATTGGATATAATTGAAAGTGTTGTATAGGTTTGACCTCATATTATATGGTTTTTGGTAAATCTAAAGCAAAATTCTCAAGAAAATTGTATAAATGTATGGCCAGCTTTATGCTCACTCCAACACAACTTGAAACCACTCCATCATGTTACAGGCTGATTTTTTGGGGAAGCATTTAACGCTCACTCTGGAAGATTATATAACTATAGTACTTTCCATATATTTAGAGTTCCATAAATCCTAATAAACAGAACTGGTTTTAAACCATTTACCCAGGGATGAACAGAACTTGCCTGAAGCATTCTATTCATGTACACAAATCCCCTGTGTACATTGTAGTTA